AAAAATTTACATTCATTCACCTCTTTTATTAATTTGTCTGTGATAATTAAGCCACATATATCGATCAAATTATTTTGAATAGTTTTACTAACAAATGTTGCATTTTTTTGGAGCCGATTCTAAGTGATTGCAAAGATCTACATCGCCCGCATCTATTCTGAACATCAACAATTCTTTGAATATTCCAATATTAAAATTATTTTTTGCTTGGTCATTTGAAATCAGATTTCATAAATTAACATCGTCTCTATGCCTCCTTATAGATATATTATGACGACCACAAAAAATAATTGTTTTAATTATAGGAATTAATTTCTTTTTATTTTGTTTGACAGTTTCATTTAGTTGGTCATCAAGTTGAATTTTTATTGTTTTTTGTTTGCCTTCAAAACATTTTATAAATTCTAAAGATCGCACAATTGCTATTTTATGATATTCTCTTTCCATATGTATCTTAAAATCATGTAAAGCATCTTTGTATTTTATCATAGGAATTTCTTTTAAGACCACAAGCCTTTGTCCTCCAATCCCACCAAACTTTGGTCCAAAAAGTACACATACTTTACAAAACGCTCCTTCTCTATTACGACTATAAGCTAACCAGTTGTGCTTATTTAGCCATTCAATTTGAAAGCTTCTTTTATGACCTTTTTTATTCATACTTACAGGGAAAATATAATTTTGTTTAGGTGACCACGTTTCTTTTAAATATTTATAAAGCATATTTGGATCGTTTTTTTGAATTTTTAGATTTGCATTTTCTTCAATAGCAAATGCGATATCATATTGACTGTTAGAATCGACTTCACACGAATCAGAAAATGTAGCTGGCTCTGACTCTGTTGGTAACACGCTTACATTTTCTATACCTTCAATTGGAGATGGATTATTTTCGTCACTTGTTTTCAACTTTTTAAAAAAAAAGTTTATTTCACTTTGTCGTTTTTGTGACATTTTAAAACAGAATAATTTGAACACGAAACTACAAACGAAAACACTACGGACAACAGCAGTACAGGCGAGTACAGCACGAAATACGAATTACACACAAGTGACACGACGACTGTAAAATTACTAACATTTTAAAACGATAATAGCAATATAGAAATGGATTAGTGATAATCGTCTTACAAATAAAATAAGATAAGATAGCGATGGCCAGTAGGAACGATACATGGCAAAAATAGCCGGTTAGCCGATCTGCCGTCTGCGTTAAGGCGAAATGCTTTTATACCCGCATAATAAAAGTAATAGTAATATGTTTGGGAGAGTTTCTTATATAATGATAATATAATAATAATATAAAATATATGTAATGATAATATTTCTTAAATTATAATATAATGTGTTTGAGCGAAACAATATAAAAGATAAAATTATAAAAATTAATAATAAAAAATAATAAAACCTAACTTATGCCAATGGGGGGGGGGCGAGGCCCTTCGGGCCCCCCCTTAAATCCGCCACTGAATACTCACAAATGAAATGATACGTTGCCTGTATTATCTTTAGAGGATACATGACAAACAATGCAAGTACGAACCATAGCTTGAAGACAAATGATAATTCGTACAGAATCGGGAATACTTCAATTTGTAAAAATGTTAAATAATTTTAAAATAAAAAAAAAATGCGTTAACAATAAAAATATTTGTTATCATCATAGATATCTTCTATTATCATTATAAAATAAAACTAATGATAAAACCCCTTGCTAAAGTGAGTGCACTATATAAAAGCAGTCTATCTCTCATCCACATCCCGGACCGCGACCCCTTGTATTGTTAATATATTTTATATATATATTTAATTGGCCTATCCATTCTTCTATTATCTATGGTCCAACCGAATAATTACGGATTCCTGATAAAAAAATCCGCTTAGTTACCTCTCCTCCACCGGATTGAAAAAAAGATGAAATTAGGAACACTAAATTCTAGCGTCTGACCAATCTGCTGAGTTTTGGAACAGACGAAATTTCATGTGGGTGAAACCTTATCAATTAGTAGACCACAACCATGGTATATTATAGTTACGTGATATACTGCAATCAGATGTAATATTAGGTCCGAGATAATAGATCATAGTAAGGTCAGCACTTTACAATAGTTTCCGACCTTTTTTTTTCAATCACAGAGATCAATCTTGTTTTAACTATTTTTTTTTAGTTTTACCTGTCCCCAATCATGTTCCGTAACATTCAACTTAACGGTAATATCGCCAATGCCGTAAAAGGATGCACCGAAGTAGTGGCGACTACATCTACCAAAGCACCGTTCGCTGGAAAATCACCAAAACAAGTTTTGCCGACAAAGCCTATCTTCCTGACCAACTACAATTTGCAAAGTACACTTTTGTCTAAGAAAGCATTGACACCAGTCACCACTACTCAAGTTCGTTTGGTCCACACTGATTTTAAAGTTCCAGACTACACTGCATATCGTCGTGATTCTGTAAAGAACCCTAGTGCTTCGAACCGTGATACCTTTGAAAAACGTAATGCTTTCACTTATATGGTACTCGGTACTGCTGTTACTGGAACAATGTTCTGTGCCAAGGCTGTTGTTCATAAATTTGTTTTGTCAATGGCACCAGCAGCTGATGTTTTGGCTTTAGCATCCATTGAAGTTAACCTTAATGAAATACCAGAGGGCAAAAATGCAACTATTAAATGGAGAGGAAAACCATTGTTTGTTAGACATCGTACTTCAGCAGAAATCCAAATTGAACAAAATACTTCATTGTCAGAACTTAGAGACCCTGAAGATGATTCTGTAAGAGTTCAAAAGCCAGAATGGTTGGTAATTATTGGAGTATGCACTCATTTAGGTTGTGTACCAATTGCTAATGCTGGTGAATGGGGTGGTTATTATTGTCCATGCCATGGATCGCATTATGACGCAGCTGGTAGAATTCGTAAAGGACCTGCACCATCAAATATGGAAGTACCACCTTATAAATTTATTGATGATAATACACTTCTTGTAGGTTAATATGTTATTATCACAGTATTTGTCATTAGATTTACATGTATGTTGTTAAAACAATTTCAAAATATATGTACTCCTGCTATTTTAATTATATTTTTGTTTTAAACATATTATCTATATATGAATTCAATTTTTATATTTTCATGGTTTCATGATAAATATTTCATACATAGCTAAACTATTTCAAATGAACCATTGTATAATTTGTCCGACAAAAATAAATTGAAATAAACTAGTAAACTGTTTTCTTATTATGCAACTGTACATGGATTTCTTTAATTTTAATTATATTATAGGAATGATGTAAATAATTATTTATAATTATTTATTATTAGTATATAAACTGTTGGTATTGAGTTAGTGAATTTTTATATTTCTGATTTTGGAATTGTTAAAGAAATAATAAAAACAAAATTATAAAGTTGTATCTAATAGATATAATTTAGATATTCAAGATTATTTAAATGTACCCTAAGTTTGACATAAGAAACTACAAAAAATATAACTGATAAATTCATTCAAATGTGTTTTCCTCAACTATAATTAATTTACCTCGATATGGAATAGTAATGCTAAATAATAAAGTACTGTCTATTTAATACAGTTTATATCTTCCAGTGGAAGACTACCACGGTCCAATTAAATTTGAAAAAAATAATGATTAATTGAGGTGCATTGATAAAATTTGACAAATTTATTATGGGTGATTACTGAATAATGTATTTCATACCAAATTTTACATTTATTTTAAGATACTTTTACAATAATAAAATGATCTATGAATAATGTAAGCAATACAATTTTAAATAAAAAATATTACTTATACGAAAATAGAAACTTAAAAATCTTTGGCCAATCTATATTATACAGCACTGCAATAATAGGGTATAGTGTACAGTTATTGGCACCTTTAGAAAAGTTAATATTTGTTTCCATGACATTTCACACTTAAACATAGTTGAAAATTGTATTATTATTTCCAATGGTGAAACAAATTGTTATCAATCTTACCTTATGATCATAATCTTATATAAATATTAAATACTTTTTCTTATTTACCATCTAGTATAAAATAATTGAAAGTTATAGTTATTGGCACCTAAAATTGTGTTATTGGTTTTTTAATTTCTGTTATTGACATCCTCTTAAATTATATATATAATTTAATAGTTTTACCGATTCATTTGGTTAAATTAATAAATAAAACTACATAGGTATTTATACTATTTTATAGCTAGATAGTAGCTACTACTTAGGTATACTGAATACTTATTAAATAACACGTATAAGAACCATACCAAGTTTAAACTACACATAGCTGTAGAAAAATTATACATATTTAGTTTACGATTCTTAATAAATTAACTAATGAACTAATTGTGTTTTAAGATATTTTATAACTTATTATTTAATTACCTATATGCTTCACACAGGTAACTCATTCAAAAAATCATAATATTTTATTTAATCACAATATATAGTACTATATTGTAGTTAGAAATCAAATAGATACCTATTATAAAAAATAATATAAGTACATCTAGCAGAAATAATAATTATGCTCAACAACTATAATAGGCAGGTAACTAATAATTTAGCTAAAGTATTTGATTATAATAAGAAGAAATAATAAAATATATTTCAAAGTTTAAAATATTTATTTGGTTATAATTAAAACAGTCTTATGTTTTATCACTCAACATATAAAATATAGATACAGATAATACAGGAGCTGGTTCACAAAAAACTTTTTGGTCAGAATTTTTAAGTCTATATTGTAATGTAGATTTTGATACAGAAAAATTGTTTGCTGCTGACTTTTTTGACTTGCCTTCATTGCCTGCTTCAGCAGCATTAGTCAAATTGAACTGAGAACAATTCTCCCTTTTTTTTGGCATTTCAATAAATAACAGTCAAATTTTACTCAAGTTCTACAATTTTTAAAGTAAGGGCCAATAAATAAATTAATACATTTTATGTGCATTTCAATAATAAGCACCCTATGCCAATAACAAAAATTTCAAATATGTACATATCAGTTATTGGCATACCAATTTTTCACAAAAATAATAAAAATAAATTATTGTACATCGGATTAAATGATGAAAAATGTTCTAAATAAACTAAAATGTACATTATGCTAATGAGTAGTTATAACTAAATTAAGAGCTTAATTTCTAAGTATAGTCTACTGATAAAAACAGTAAATTCTTATAAAATATTCAAGATTTCTGAGACGACTGAAAACTTTGATAATAATTAAACGATAAATTATTATTATCGGGAACACTTGATAACACGACATGATCAGTTTGGACAGATATATATAAAAAAAAAATCATTTAAAAGTCAAAATGCTCACTAATTACAAATAAAAAACTTTCATAGTGTCAATAACTGTACCAGCGCCAATAACTATACACTTTACTCTATGAACGTAGGCATCAACAGTGACAGATAGTCCCCTCCCAACCAAAAAAATTTCTCTTATTTTGTAAAATATACAATCATTTTAAGCAGTCTTGTAAAAGATACTTTTTAAAAGTATTCAAATACAGATACAGATGCATATTTTCAAAAGTATTTAAATACGTATATGAATATTTGATCAAAAAAGTATTCAAGTACAAAAATAGATACTTTCAAATATAATACTTGAAATAATTTAAAAAATATATTCATGTATTACATAGTTGCAAAAAATAAAATAATTCAGAGTTTTCATAGGTCATAAATCAGAATTATATTGTATTTTGAAAATGAAAATAAACAAAATTCTCAAATGTGTTATGAAATTGTTAATTAATATGGATTGTAATGTAGTAGATTATAGTATCTTAAGTATCTGAGCGCACGGTAGTGCGCTGTCCAAGTTCAAGCAATGATAGTGTATCTTTATAGCCGGGTTTACATTGGTAGAGTATTTGGTATAGTACGACGGTAGAGTAAGTATTCTACCGTTTCTAGCATAATGTAAACACTCAGGAATAGTATAGGTAGAGTACTAAAGATAGTAATCGGTATAGTAGAGTAGTTAACCACTGTGGTAAAGTACACTCTACTCGCTTTTACCCCCACCACCGTTTTTACTGTACTCTACCACCACTCTACTGGTGTAAACAGTCTAATTTTGGTATAGTAAAAGAAAATATTGTTGATATCGCCTGAACCGGCACGTGTATTCATATTTATTTTTAAACTTTGTATACATTTTTAATTTTGTTTAATGTTTTTAAACCTTATAATATAATATAACTATTCTACATTTCTGATCGTATTGTATTATATCATTTTATTTCATTATAAAAGTGGTTTTAATAATTTTTAAAAATGAAGTGGTCTGAAAGTGACACGATAGCGCTGGTGGGTCGTTTACTAACGCAGTTGTAACCACTCGAAGGCATTTCTTTAATAATTTTCGACAATGACGACGACGTACGATATCCATATTTGTTATTTGATATTTTGAAGTTGATCAAACCTAACCGTGACGGCGTGAGTTTACACATCAACTGCACTCTCTTCTAATAAATACTAGCTTCGTGTAAACAGTTAATCTACTAAAATTAGTAGAGTAGAGCGAGTAGGCAAAATAGTAGGCTAGTGTACTCTACTAAATACTCTACCAATGTAAACCCGGCTTATACCATCCAATTTGCCCAGTTATTCTAACCCATATATCTCTGTTTCCTCTTAAGATATACTTTTGAAATTTAAAACACAGATTAATCTCGAGTAGCTTAGGACGCTGTAAGGAAATGAGCCCTTAATATTGTACCATTTCGAAATGGATGGATTTAAAAATTTGCAATTTTGTTACTAACGTGAAATTTGGCACAAAGGTAGGTTTTACAATGTAACTAAAAGGAAAAATCTAAAAAATGATTTTTTTCAAAATTAATGCCGCTTTAGAGAGTGTATTTCTAAACGTATGAAGTGGCGCGCTTAGCACGCATAAACGTTTTCCTTCAAACAGCGTCACAATACGGTAATAAGAAATCGTTTGTAGTTGACTTATATATATGTATATATTTATAAAACATAATAATGTTTTCGTACATTTATTTTATTTAAATACAAAATATAATATAATTATTCAAATATAGAATATTTTAATAATATTCGTCGGTATACAGACGATAATTTTACATGGTAACGTCGTAAGAAAACATTGATAAACGTATGACCAGTGGTGCATTTAAGGGGGGGGGGTGAAAGGGGCAAATGCCCTGGGCGTCAAATTTTTGGGAGTGACAAAATATTCTAACTTTTATTGTTGATGTGTTCATGATTTTTTTAATTTTCTCACCTTTTTCAGTATTGTTTAGTATTTTAAAAAAATATTATTGAGCATTTAATAAGAAATTAAAAAAATTATACTATACCTAGTCACCTAGGTATTAGTGAAATAGCAAAATAGGTATATTAGATTTATTATTCAATATTATATTTTCGTTCGATGTTTATAATAAAGACTCGAGTACACAGAACGCGGTATTCACTTTAGGGCACATTTAAGAAGTTTACAAAAGGAGTAAAATTGTTGTCTTCTAATTATGGAGATAGTTGGATGAAGATCTTGTTTTTTTTTCAGAAAAGACTTAATGGCCTTGCTATGTTATTGATTCATCTAGATTTAAATATTACTACTGATGGAGTTATTGACGAATTGACAAATAAAAGAAGAAAGCTATAGTTTATCATATAGTTATAATTAATGAAATTACATTTTTCAATAAGAAGATAATAAAATTGATAAAAATTTAATTTTGACCATTTTATACTAATTTATAAAAAAATGTAAGATAAAAACCCCCCTCCCCAAAAAAAAAAAAAAATTATAAATATGCAATTGCTCTGGGAAATGATTTAAAATATTTTTTTAAAACTATTTAAAATACATATTTAAGTACATGAAAGTTATTTGAATACTTTTATTCGAGAACTTTACAAGCAGGGCCGTAGCAAGGAAAGAGCTAGAGATACCTATGCCCAGGAGCAATTTCTGGGAGGTTAAAAATGAAAAAATTACAATTTAATTGTTACTTATAACTTATTACTTATAAATAAAAGTAATTTTATGTATTTATGTATTTACTTAAATAACCTATAAATATTATGTTATACCTATGTGCCTACTTATAATTATCATTTATATTTATATTTTAATAAGTTATTGATTTAAAAAAAAAAATAAAAAATGCCTACATAATTACCTATAAGGGAAAATCATTATTTATATTGTGTTTATAATAAAATCATCAGTTTTTTGTGAGTTTTTTTTATAAATTAAAATACTTAAGGGCACGTTTTGGAGATTTGCCCCGGGCACAATATTTGGTTGCTACGATCCTGTTTACAAGATTGATTTTAAGACATAGATATTATGTTACATTATGTTATCATTAGACATAAGCGTGCGCAGAGTATCAAGTCTAGGCAGCAAATATTTTTACCGGCCCATTTTTTTTTCATACAAACGGCTTGTAAATGACTAGTATACTTTAGTAGCCTGCAGTGACTGTGTTTTTTGTAACCAATAACCTATTTAAACACAGTAAAGATTAGATTGATAACTGAATGCATTTTTCGAATAACCAATTTATTTTTCATTAAAAATTATATGGTGGCTAGCTTGGACTGTTTGACACTAACAAATACACTTAAACCGTCCAGGGGTAGTAAGAGAACACACTAACTGCCCCTGTGCATACACCTTTGTCATTAGACAATTTTCATTGTTTCAATAAACTAAATAATAACACCTTTTATATTTTAACTTATGTTTAATCGACTTATTAAAATTAAAATCTTGATTCTTATGCAGGAGTGAATTTAAAACCCCACTCCCAAAATATTTTTCTGGCTACGCCACTGAGTGCAAATAATGTTTGAAATTTGGGGTGGTTGAATCTTATAAATGTATAATATAGTATACTATTTAATTTTCATTCGTTTTTTTTTTTTTTTTAAGAAAAGGGCAAAACACCCCTACTTCTTTATTTGTGTTAATGAATATTTAGGTTATTTAATTCTGAATATAGTAATACCTAAAGGTATTATTATATTTATCAGGTAGATACGCATTACCAAGGTATCTCAAAATCCATATAATATTCGTGCATAATATGGTGCATTTAGAACGGCAGGTACTGGGTAAATACTAAATTAGGTACAACGTATATTTTTACATATTAATATGATATGAGGTACATAATTTCATACTATGTTTAGCATTTTTCTTTTTATGGTAACTTTAAAGTGACGTGAAAAGATGGACGCAGATGTACAAGGTTTAGATCTAGGAAGCCTCTTAAGAATATTATATTTTTTTTTGTCATCAGTGAAAATATTAATGTGGCGCAAATTTAAATCAATATTATTTTTTTTTTTTTGTATGAATATAAATAGATGCATATTATATATACAGTATACTTATATATCTGTTAAAAATGATTTTTATTTTGAGTAATAATTTATATTTGCATCTAAATTAACCTGTATACCTATTAATAATAAATAATAAAATATACTTGGACATAACACTTTCAATATAAATGTTGAATAAGCATTTATAATTTAACTTTTTAATGTTTGAAAGATGTAAATTAAATAAAGAAATAATAATGATAATAATAATAAAATTATAAAAAACAATTATTTATGTTATTAGCTTCTTCAAATATGCCTTCAAACTTTGGTTGTTCTTTTGCTTAATTGATATCTTTCACCTGACTTTTAATTTTATTCAGCCAAAATGGATGATTTGAAGATCTATTTTATTTAAATAATTGATATCATAATTAATAAAACAAAATAACGATTTTTAAATCAATTAAAATTTTATGTGTTATTAGACTTCAAAAATTTTAGTCTATATAATAATGATTTTCCTATAAACTTATTAAACTCATTGAAACAATTAAACGGTAAGTATTTTTAATTATCCAAAAAGAAACCTTAAAAGAAGAGAACTTTTAATATTTTCAGCCCTACGACCTACATATACTATGTTTACCTCATCATGTTATAATTAATGCATCGACATTCAACTTGCGGCCCTCCAACGATTTATA